GAAATCATGAATCCATTGAAGCTAGACCACCATGGAAAACCTGGAAGCACTGGACGGCCGTTTCGTCCTAGTATGGGACTCCTCAGCAGTGCGCATCCACGATCCCGCTTCTCGCGAGATTCTATCATTTATTAACATTCAGTATATAGTTGTATTTCTAATGATTTCTAAGAGTATGTTATATTTAAATAATATACCCTTGTGGGCCAGAGTAATTTTACAAAAGAATCAGACACCATCCAGACTTTCACATGACAACCCGAGCAGTACAGCTGAATCCTGCTTCACAGGAGAATCAGACATTCAATAGGCTTGAACGTTAAAATCTGAATAGTACAGCTCATTCCTGTGGCTCAATCACACAGATACCATGAACCCTGATAGACCAGATTATGTTATAACGTGACATTTACTTATAATGTGGTGCGCACTACTTGTGAGGACATATGTGAGTAGTATATAGCAGGAATTGGTAGTGGAAAGCTTAGAAGTAAAGAGAAGAGGAAAGAAAACAGACAGAAACCGGAATAGCAACAAGATTGGAAGAATAAATATATAATTTAGTAAGGTTAGATTTTAATTAGCTGTGGAATTTGTAACAAGCGTTTCGTCCTGCCTTCTCTAATTACAATCCAGTTATTCCTATTGCTTAGTATTCTTGGACACCAATTCACTCGACAAGTCCCCAAATCAGAACACGACTGAACAGGAGAGAAATTATATTTCAAATAAAGAGGGTAGATGGAAGTAAGAAGCACAATAGGAAAAACGTTAGTATATTTATAGTTTTTTACATGAGAAGATTCTAGAGTCATCTTCAAGTATCGACTAGCTCTGATTGAATAAGAATTAGCCAATCAGCATGCACCAATGCAGTCGTGCATAAAGCATGCTTTAATCCAATTTATGTCTCACTAACATGCCCAAAACTCGTCAGTTGAATGTACATCCATTCTAGTGTCGATGTTCCCACTAAGACTCTACTTTTCACTGTCAAACTCTCGATCAGATATCCACTTACCTATTGAATCAGAACAGTCAGTAACTTGTTCAACACATATGTTATTCATATTTTTTTCGGCAGTAAGAGTCTAAGTTATCCAGTTGTTGATTCCCCATCTAGATCATAATACATCTATTTTAGATCTCATTTAAAAATATGAAAATATCAAGGCAATCCGCACACAGAATCCATATTATTTAAATAGTGAAATTTTCAACAACAAAAACAACATGAACATATTCTCAATTTTGACTAGATTGAAAGTATGATGTATAAAAGAGTTAAGGGCTAGCTTTTATTTGTCTTCGAATTATTCCTCTTAAGTATTAATATTAATTCAGATAAAACCATAATCTTCAATTGAAATTAGTCAATGTTTGAACAATATTCATTTACTGATGATCAAAATAGGTTACTTTAAATATAACTAGAAGAAGGGGTTTTGTGGAGATCTTAGAAATTTCACTGGTTGAAATCATGAGTCAATTGAAGCTAGACCACCATGAAAAACCTGGAAGCACTAGAAGGCCGTTTCGTCCTAGTATGGGACTCCTCCGTGGTAGTGCGTATCCACGATCCCACCTGCCACTCGCGAGTTTCGAATCCAGAACTTATCAGTCTCGCGCGCGAGCGCTTAACCAACAAACCACTGAGCCGGCATCCAACAGTGTTAATGTCTAACTTCAACCAATCCATGAAATTGATCCACCGTACACCATTGTCTTCAGTGAGTTGATTTCTTACAACAGACCTGAATTTAAATCTCGCGGGGGCCAGCATCGTGGATGCGCACTGCCGAAGAGTCCCATACTTGGACGAAACGGCTTCTAGGTTTTCCATGATGGTCTAGCTTCAATTGACTCATGATTTCAACCAGTGAAATAACTATAAGGATTTTTCTTTTCTTCATACTAAAATATTAATTTGGAGAAAAAAACAATCAAGAATTAGTTTGTTTATATATTTGAATTGAAAATATGAATAGTGGTACAAAGGGCTACCAAATACATATGCGTCACACAAGTCATTTGATTGTTGTGTGTGGGCTGTGATACTACCCAGGTGCTTAAACCGAAACATGTGGTTTTCTCAGGAGGTTACACCCGGAACTTTCAACCTAAAGGTCTGATCCACAAAGCAGTGAAGCAATGTTAGAAGATGTAGTCCCATGGTAGCCAGTGATCAATAATTGGTTCTGGTTAGTGTTTTTTAAACGAGTTAGTTTTCTACGGGATGGGGTCGCTAACCCTATGCCCAACCCTCCTTCTTTATCCGGGCTTGGGATCGGCAGTAGCCCCCGGAAGGACTCCAGGTGGAGTTAATTATTGGTTCATACGCCATTTATTACTTCGGGATACTGGAGTCCACATGCATCATTGGTTTGGAATCAAGGTTTTCCAATTCTCATTGGTGGATTCCCCGTGTCCACCAACCCAGTTAAAGCCTCTACTGAACATTCGTTTTTCGTCCTCTCAATTTTGCAAACAACACCCTGGTCTCGAGAAGGCAATGAGTAGGACTTCCCTGGCAGTGGCTGTATATACGTAACCATGTGAGAGCAGTTGGAGAGAGAGAGAGACGGCGGACTCTCCCCATCCTTGGCCGTACCGGGCCATTCGACTGATCATTAATAAATATTATCAGAAAGTGGGTTTTATGGAGATTGTAATAATTTTAATAGTTGGATTCATAAATCAATTAAAGCTAGACCACCATGGAAAACCTTGAATCAATGAACGGTTGTTTCATCCTAGTATGAGACTCTTCAGCTGTGCACATTCAATAACAAAAAAAATGAACACAATATATGTATACATAATAATCTAACTTTATTATTGTTGAATATTTATGATTATATATTAAAATCTGAAATCCTTAAACTTTGTCATTATATATATATATATATATATATATATATATATATATATATATATATATATCCCACGAGCGGGATCGTGAATGCACACTGATGAAGAATCCCATACTAGGACGAAACAGCCGTTCATTACTCCTAGATATTCCATGGTAGTCTAATTTTAATTGACTTATAAATCCAACTATTAGATTACTTTAATATTCACAAAACCCCCCTTTCTAATATATATGCATATAACTTGATTGAGTTACCAGTTGAACATTTTTTTTATTTTCTCATAAATACTGTAATTTTCAACCGAAATATGGAATAATTATCGATTATGGTATTATTATCTAAACTAGTTAAATGAAATCTATTACAATAGAATTAAATATTGAATAAATGTGTAAATTGAGTATATAATATATAAGGATATATCATTTCATTATTATATCCGTTTTAATGATCTACATTCTCCTGTTAACCACTATTCATCTTTGCTTAGCAACGGTTAAATGTTAACAATTGAATGATTAGGAATTGAAATAAATTTAAAGTAAGTTTTATGTTGAATATCAATGAGATGTGTTAATAGAAGTGATGATCTCTATTCTGATGTAACAGATACTATACGGCTGCGAAACTTGGCCTTTAACAGTAGAAGATATTCGTAAGTTACTAGTATTTGACCACAGGTGCCTTAGAACTATCGCTCGCATTTGCTGGGATCACCGGGTAAGTAATAGTGAAGTTACACGCAGGGTATTAGGGAATGATGGTAAATCAGTTGATGAGGTTATGAATCTTCATCGACTGAGATGGTTGGGCCACGTGTTGCGTATGCCTGAACACCGATTACCACGACGCGCAATGGTAACCGGTGTTAGGGATGACTGGAAGAAAGTTAGGGGCGGCCAAACCAAAACGTAGCATTAGTGCTTGAAGTCACTAACTTCTGGTCTGAGCCATGTTGGTAGATGCAGACTACCTGGTTGGGGTCCGCTAGACTATCGTAACCAATGGTTGGAGACTCTTGGTGACATGGCTCAGAATCGAACACAATGGCGTCGGTGTATACACTCTCTGTCTTCCTTAAATTAAGAGATTAAAATCGCTTCATATCTGTCTAGGAACTAATTCTTTCTTCCTGTACTATCTCCTTATACACAATCTTTCTTCTATATATTACTCCACTGAATTAACTACTCCTATGAATCCGGTGTTCATCTTGTTGTGCTAATGCGGTATGGCAACTTGGACCGATGCATATACGTGCCTGGTCCTACGTTGCAGCTGACTGACTGAGATGTAACAGTTTCCATATTTTATGAATATAGGGTTGTGAAGATTATTAAGTAATTGATTGTGATGTTAGACTATCATTGAAAAACCTGAAAGTACTGAATGGTCGTTTCGTTCTATTATTGGACTCCTTTGTGACAATGCGTATTTACGATCTTGCTCACGGGATCAAAATGTTTTTATTTTTGTTTGATTCTAGTTGCTACTTTGCTTGTTGATTAATTGTTATCACGAATAGATACAGTTATCAGTTGTCATTTGCACTATCGTATGTCATAATAATTCTTTAGGTTATTATTTCAGGAAGCTGTTTTTCTTTCAAACTTATAGACATGTTAAGTGCGGCAGATACTTTAAGAGGTGAGGTTTGTAGATCACTTACGTATATTACTTAATAAAGAACAGCTTTTTAGACAAATTTCTGTTTTATAAAGTTCGACCTCGTGTAACGAGACTCTTCAACAGATTTAACAATTGATAACAACAATAATAAGCAATTTAGTTTGTCATTGTTTGCATCATACACATTTTATTTCAACATCCATTGAAAAGCGGGAAACATTGACTATCCATTTCGTCCTAGTATGGGATTCTTCATTAACAAGGATTAAACCCAGGGTCTTTAAGTCTCTCAGGGTCGGTTAATATCTGTGTGGTTTCTACTGGTTCACACCTCTAACTTCAATTAATTTATGCTATTTATCAACCAACTCCTCATGGGTAACTGTCTCTCATCCAACACGGTTTATATTTTCTAATATGGTAATCATTCTTATTATGGCAAGTAAATATGTGTGTTAAAATTGCTTGATTATTATTCGATACATTTATTTATAGAGGACAATTACGTTCGTATGAAACTAATGTAATTACATTACTCAGATCGTTGGAGGTACTTGATTCCGTGAACTTGGACACAAACAATATCTATAAGGTAATGATTTTTAAGGAATGATCATAACAAAATATTAACAATATGTTTCACCGAAATCGATTAATTTGATCTGTAAGATTTTGTATTTTCTCTATGTTTATGTTAAGGTTTATAAGTGATAAGCCTCTTTTAACATATATACGTCCTAATCGGATTATCTTGGTTTTACCAAATAGTTACAAGCTTCGATTAAGGTTAGATCGTGGCTAACAGTGAAATCCAGCACGTGCATTTCAACATATATACAGGATCTATCAATTGAATAGATCTGACTTATTCTAGTGTTGGTGTTCATACTTATGCTCGGACCTGTTACCTTTCTCATCAAACGCGTTATCAATTGAGCTAGTAAATTCACATAGCCACTAACCTATTTAATAGATATGATGAAATTTCATTGATTGAAATCATGAGTCAATTGAAGCTAGACCATCATGGAAGACCTGGAAACACTGGACAGTCGTTTCGTCCTAGCATAGGACTCCTCAGTATATGGTGAACACAAACAATTAAAAAACAAAAAAACAAACGATTACTAATTAAATCCAAACATATTCTACAAACTAATGGTATTATGAACTCATTAGCTCAATTAATAAAACGTTGAACGTTTGATATGAATCTTATTATATTCCAGTCTTAGCTTAAACATTAAGAATACATTTTAGTAGATGTATCCAGTTGATCAATCCGAAGTTGATCGTAACATACTTTATGTATTCCACTACTAGTCATTGTCTAACTGGTTAATGAAAAGGAATATCAAACATATACAAATCTATTTTGTTTTAGTAAATAGCATCAGTTGAATCCAACTATTTCCTTTATCTATAAAAATAGATTTAGAATGGTGATGTGCATAGTTTCGATATACTAATATATATATAATATTCGTAATGATTTGACCTAATTAGTCCAAGTATTCTATACTTGAAACAATGGAATCTTAAGATCAAACCAATCTGGTTATTGGTTCTGACTAGTGGTAATTCATTTTTGTTTCTTACTAAATAATATAAGAATGTAAATGATTATATACTATGAACAACATACACACACAGCCACACACACACACACAAGCACTCAAATGGATGTTACAACTTACTATACAAAATGAAATGAAGTATATGTGCTAATAATCGAGAACAGTATGTCAATAACAAAGGCATGAACAGTAAGTATTTAAGGATACCGTGGTAACTAAAGTAAAACCAAGATCGATTTTTTTTATTGTAAGTAAAATAGCTAATGGATTCTATTTTGAGGTAAATACAGTGGTGTTTCTAAAACTCTACACAGGGAACTGTAGTGAATCAACAGATTGTTGTCTCATGTACAGCTAGCATTCGTCTCACAAGCTCATTATCGAAATCTAACTATTTGTGCACCTTATGTATTTTATGAGAACACGGATAAATAATGCTCAGTATAATGAGATCTAAGATGACATGTATTAAAAATATGACCAAGTCAATGAAGCCTGTATTTCAAGATGGAAACATTCACAGGATTATCAGCTGTATTTTGTCTAAAAAACCTCTCAGGAACTTTGTCATTACTTACAAAGTGTTTCCACTGCATACAAGCGTTCTAACAAAGATGACAATGGTCTAGGGCAGAGAGTGGAGGCAAGAGTCGTATGTATAGAACAAAGCTGTTCTCAATGATGTATTATTGGACGCTCAAACATTTATAGTCAAGTCAATGTCATAACGAACATAGAGACAGCTTAAAATGACATATTTTTGTAAAAAAAGATTTCAGTGTGTTGACGAGCTTTCGTTTTCCATATGTTGTTTCAGAGCACATTGTTGTTCAACTAGTTGAAGGATAATCTGTTATAAAAAATTGAGACGACTTTCAACTAGAAATACGTGTGACCCTGTTTAAACACTTAACGAACGATAAAAGATGTGATAAATTCATCTACTATGTGGATGAAGATTAACATGTTTCTCTGGGACCACTCAGTGGTTTGCATAATTTGCTTACTATGCTGACAGACAACCATGTTGACAAACTTCCTTTGGTGATACTTATCACATGTATTAAAGTGTGTTGAGATAATGAGCAATTTATATATTCTAGGTTGGTGAAGTCATCCTGGTTAAATGACTTGGTTCTTTTTAAGGGTTGTTGTTTTCAACTCTCCTTATCTGAGATTAATTAGCACTCACTAGCACTAACAGTCTGGAGATCACTCATTATATTGCCGAAAAATTTACTGACCATTTCATTAAGACGATGAATCTTGCTGTTATCAGATACACCTCTTGTTTTTCCTCTTAACATCACATCCTGACCACTATTTTAAAGGTGTGTGCCACTGGATTTCAACTCAGTGTTCTGAAGGTAAGGAGATTGCCTCAAAGCCTGAAGGTGCTGCATTCGAACCCTAATGAGATCATGAAGACACTGCTGAGGAGTATCAAACTATTATGAAACATCTGTTTAGTGCTTTTTAGTTTACCATGGTTGACTACCCAAAGTTGGTTTGATGATAAAAACTAAAAAGATTCAACTATCTTCACAAGATCCTCTATACCAATCAATGCATAAATACTTACTTACTCCTGTTACTCGCAATGGAGCATAGGCCACTTGGAGCCTTTCTGAGGCTAGTTCCGGTTCCAAGCCGAAATAAAGGAAGAGGGTTGGGCATGGCGTCAGCGACCCCATCGCGTAGAAAACTAACTCGCAAAAAAATGCTAACCAGAAAAAAATGTAATTGTAACATTATATATAAATGTCAGTGGCCTTCAGTGGTATTCAATTATTAATCGAAATTATATTATTGTAATTTAATAGTTGAATTTATGAGCCAAACTGAACCTAGACCATAATAGAAAACTTGGAAGTACTTGATGGCCGTTTCGTTTTATTATCGCACTCATCAACAGTGCGCATGCACAATCCCACTCATGGAATTCGAACCCCGGGTTTTTAGTTTCGCTCGTGAACGCTTAACCTATAGACCATTGAGCCGTTATACAACGGTATTATTATTATTTAACCTCAACCAATCTACAAAACTGTACAACTATCTTCCATTGTACTGAGATAGATACCTGTCTCTACTCAATACGGATCAGTTTCATTGGTCATAGCTTGTCACTAGAACTCTAAGAATTCTCTCATAAAGCTATAATCACTAGTAAACACATAGTAATTTTCAATAAACGGTTATAGAAATGATTAAGTTGTTTTTTTTTATTGAGATCATCATCATTGAAAACCTGAAAACATTGAAGGATCATTTCATCCTATTATAGGATTCTTCAGCAGTATAAATTCATGATACCATCGTTCAAATTCTCCTTAATGATTTCACTTCAATTTCATTCATGAATTTCTAATAATCCACCCTAACACATTGTTTGTTTTTTTTGTTTTCTTTTCTTTTCTCTTTTCTTTTTGTTTTCTTTTCTTTTCTGTTTTTCTTTTTATAGGAAAAAGTTGTATTTTTAATAACACGTGTAGAATATGCTAATTTATATCATACTATGACAGATTGGTATAATACATATATTACAATGAAATTACTTAATTTAACAATAAATAATATACATTTATTAATCATTGATGGACATCCATTAAGTAATTTAGATGAAGTATGGTATCAATTATTTAATAATTCTATATCAAGAATTGGTGCATATAGACATTTATCTAATCAAACTATTCATTTAATACCAATATTACCTAGAAATAATAATCAATTATTACATATTCATAAACTTGTTATTGTACCATATGGTTATTCAAGTCCATTATATGTAGATAAACCAATTATATCTAATATGTATATAGAAGAGTTTCGACAATTCTTTCTTGATAGGTATCATTTAAATATCAATAATAATAATAATAATAATAATAATAATAATTTATGTAATAAACATATTATAAATGATTATAAATCTCCTCAAATTATTATTATAAGTCGACAAAATTATATTGCACATCCACGTAATATAAATGGTTATATTCATAGAAAAATTAATAATGAATTACAATTATTACAAATATTAAAACAATTAAATTTTAATAATTCATTTCTTATTGATTTTATTCAATTAACTATCATAGAACAATTAAAATTAATTATTAATACTGATATATTAATTGGTATGCATGGAGCTGGTTTAACTTATACTTTATTATTATCAAATACATCATCAATCATTGAATTGTTTCCATATTATTGTTGTATTCATAATAAACATTTTATTAAATTAAGTCAATTACGTCATATTCATTATCATAGTTATTATGGTTTAATGAATAATGATAATATACAAATGCAATCCACTTATATACCAATTGATGATTTTAAAACAATAGTATTAAAAACATATAATAAATGGAAAGAAAATTGTAAATTATTAACAAAATAAATAAAGAAAAAAAGTATATATATATATATATATATACATGTTTCTTTCTTCTGGGGGGGAGGGGGTTTGTTTTCTTTTTTTTCTAAAGAAATTTTTCGGGAGGGGAGGTGTTTTCTTTTGTATTTTTTTTCTGTTGTTTTATTTTTAGTTTACGGTGAAATCACTGGTTTAATGATGTGAAATGTATCTATATACAGATTTATATGAATAATAATAATCATTTGTAATACATTGAAAAATAAACAGAAACGTAGATAGCAAAGAAATTGAATAAAAAAGTTTTTCGAAGGGGGGGAGGGTTTTTCTTTTCTTTTTTTTTTAGAAAAAAAACATTTTTGGAGGGGGCATTTTGTTTTTTTTTAATACATTTTTTTTAACAGTGAAATAAATGGTTTAGTGATGTATATAGATTTATAAACATATCTATATGAATAATAATATAACTATTTGTAATACATTGAAAAATAAACAGATATTGTAAAGAGAATTGTAGATGGCTCAGGAACTGGATACAAAGGGTTTTCCGAAGGGGACAGGGTTTTCTTTTTTTTCTAAAAAATTTTTCGGGAGGGGGGTGTTTTCTTTTTTTGAACATTTTTTTTGTTTTTTTTACAAGGAAACAACTACTTTAATATCAGAAGGGGTTTAATGATGTATAAACATTCATATGCATGTCTATATGAATAATGATAATTAAATAAACAGAGATTGTAAAGAGAACTATAGATTGCTGAGAAATTGAATGAAAAATTTGGGGTGGGGGTTTGTTTTCATTTTTTCAATTTTTCGAGAGGGGTGTTTTCTCATTTTTTTATTTTTATTTTCTACACTGAACTAAGTGATTTGATGATATACATACATTTATATATGGATCTATATGAATGCTAATATAACTATTTGTAATACATTGAAACCTAAACAGTTATTATAAATTATTCAAAAAATGAATGAAAAAATTTTTCACCGGGAGGGAGGGGTTTTCTTCATTTTTTTTGAAAAAAAAATTGTAAGGGGGGGTATTCTCCTTCTTTTTTTAAAAAAACGTTCTTTTTTGTTTTTTTTTTTCAACAATAAAATGACTGATGTGATGATGTATATACATTTATATACAGATCTATATCAATACTAATATAACTATTTGTAATAAGTTAGATACTGAAAAACAAAACAAAGCAAATAATTTGATATTTTCGGAGAAGAATCTCGTTTAAGGCATGGCGGTTTTTAATTTTTTTCTTATTTTATATTAATTTTTCATTAATAGATGGTGGACAATCATAACCACCATGTAATTAATATCAATCTATGAAGAGTATAAAATTTGGTTCTGGTTGTTTGTTTGTTTGTTTGTTTTTATTTTGGATTGAATGAGAAAATCCACTAGTTAAACAAACTGAAGAAGTTCAGACAAGTTACCGGGACGAAACAGAATTATTTTAGATTTCAATTGCTCAGATTATTTCAAATATACTTTCCACGTATAACGTCTGTATTATAGTTTGTTTTTATAATATTTTGTTTACAAATATGTATGTAGGGCAAATTAGTTTACTGTTTATAATACAAAATTACATTAAATATATTAGTTGTTTATTTACTTTATGTTGTCTTTTGTATACTTGATTATTCTTATGATTCAGTTGTTAGTTTGATTTGTTTCTGATTTCTTTCTTGTTCTCATCATGTCAATCTTTTGCTGGTAGGGATTTCATCTATCAGCATAAGTAGCATTCATCACATGTATATTGAGCTAGTAAGTCTAGGTAGTCATCAATATATTCAATTAGTATAGAGTAAGTAGTGAGGATTTGTGACTTTATTCTTTGAAGTTCATATACTGCTGGAAGGGTTACAATGCGACTAGACCTATGACGCTTCTGACATCCAAAAAGCGAGTTTATATTACGTTACCATTCAGAAACGAAACAAATAGTCTCATGTTGAAACGGAGACTTAAATTATCTATCAACTGGACATTATTTTATGCAGCCCAACTTGTCATTATTGAAAGACAAGGTCTATGTTTCACCAAAAGCTCAAACAGCACGAAAGCGATTGTGTGTCACATCTTATTGTGTCTATCAATTTACATGTATGTGTGTAAACACGTATATAGGGGGGAGCAATCGTGATTTGCAATTAAGGGTGGGTGAACACATACCAAAATGGTTGCAGAGACAGATGGAATCGAATGGTCAAATAAGATCACAGGATAGACAGACATCATCCTCCATTGCGAAACATTTGATTGAGACGGGTTATAAGGTTTACATCAAATAAGCATTTCTAGTGTTATACACAAGCCTTCAAGGACGTATACTAAGGTTTATTGAAGCCTTGGCTATACGGAAATTGAAACCCCGTTTATGTGTTCAAAAATAATTTGTCTTTACACTTGAACCAACCCTGGTAATACTGATTTATTAATCCAGAGTGGTTATCACATTTGTTTTTGTGTACTTTAATCTTTTTTCTCCTTTGTTATGACTTACCTATAACCTGTCTAGTTGACCTTTTGATTTTCATATATAAATGTTCTTAACAAGTATATTAGGTTTGATTAGATTGTTCGAAATGTATTGCGCACGTAATTCTGATAAACTTCATCTTCTCATTGTATTATCGAAATTTATCAATGGGACTAATTGTTTTAGACTCTGTTAGTGTTAATATACAAGAATAGAATTATTCAGTGACTTTTGAATATCAACAAGGGTAAATCACTAATTCGCTCTAATTCCTTCATACTCGTTGAATAAGTTAGTAGATACCTGGACCCAATAGTTCAATAGATAAAGCATTGAATGTTTGGAAGGATGTATATGTGATTCATGAATCAATGTGAATACCATCATGGGTATTAATATACATTCAGTTAATGAGTCTCGAATATGATTGAAACTGGTGTCTTACATATCACTGATAGCCTACATAACAAAGCAATTCATTTAGATGATTAATTTGATATTCGAAATTTAATTTGTGATTAATTAAAAAAAAGATCCACTTATAGAAATGATCGCCTGAAATATAGCATTGAGACCGGTCAGCACAATCTCATAGTTTAATCTTATACTGAGTATGAATTTCTTTCCAACATCAGAGATGATCATGATGATCTGAATGATTATGAGCAATTAACGCGCAGTTTTTTTTGTTGATAAAGTTGCCTCCTATTTCAGATTACAGCTAGAATAGGAGATAACAATCAATTTTTGTTAATAGTTGTTTTCATGAGTCAATTGAAGCTAGATCAAGATGAAAAACCTGGCAGCACTGGACGGTGGTTTCGTCCTACTATCGGACTCCTCAACAGTTCACATCCACAACCTTGCACTCTAGGACTCGAACCCAGAACCTTCTGTATCCCCCGCGAACACAAAATCTCTATGCCACTAGGCAGGCATCAAACTGTGTTATTATCTAACTTCAACCAATCACAGCAGATCCGATTGAACTTCACTAGTCATGGCTTCTCACTAGATTTCCAGCGTTGTTTTCCAATAAGCATAATGAATAGTAGCTTTTGGGATCCATTTATGGACCAATACTATACGTATATTTTTATTGTATAATTGTTAAATAACTAGACTACTCATATTCATATTCCTCTTATTGATCTATGAACTATTATTACACAATTTACCAATCTTGAGTTATGCTCTGTCTATCAATGACTACCTCCCACATTCACAGCCGCATTTGGCTAATTGTTGTACAAATGTTGTTTCCTATTTTATGGTACGATGTGGTCTGTCTGATTTTTATATAAACCCAATATGGTTGAAATACATGACTCATATTACAGAGGCTGAGATTGGTATTCTGGATTTAACTGACTGGGCTAGGCAAGAACCAGGACCGATAATTACTCTAGACTGTTCGTACGAGTTTTATGCATCATTGGTCCTATCGATAATTGACTGTTCTCTAATTGGCGGTATCATTACATTATACATTAATAGGGTACACAGGTCATAAGTTATAACATTCAGGAGATACCTCTTGGAGACCGTCACTAATGAGCACATGATGATTATCATCATAGAAAGAGAGAGAGGGGGTGGTTTGTTTATATTGTCTAGCTTCAATGGATTCATGATTTCAACCAGTGAAATTTCTAAAATCTCCACACAATCCCTTCTGATAAAACCATATTTGTTCATTCAATTGATCATTCTCATTAAAACACAATTAATTAAACTAATGAAAACAACAAAAATAAACAAACAAAAAAGTCGTCCATTTAATGATTTCACTTTGAATTAGTTAAACAATCACATTTGTATAAAAGAATTTATGGGTTAATAATGAATTTATAGTAAAAAAATGAAGGAAGGAAGGAAGAAAGAAAGAAAGAAAGAAAGAAGGAAAAAGAGAAGAAGATTTGTGAAATTATTCCTCTCTTTTTTCTTTGTATTGAAAGGAGAATTAAACGGCTTATTTTTATTGTTTGTTTTTATGTAATAGTTTGTTGAGTTTCATTTTTCAATATGCTAGTTGAATGAAACATAGATGATTAGCTATCTAGTGAATTCATTAGGGATGGTACAAATTTCTTTTTTGAAAAAAATACAAAGTATTATTGTAAGCTTGGAGACTTTTAACTTCTGTAAATATGGAAGATAAGATCGAATCGCCATGAGAAACGGTAAGAGTATATAGTTGGGCCACGTGTTACGTATGCTTGAACGGTGCGCAATGCTGACTAGTGTTGGAGATGGTTGGAAGGAAGTTAGGGGTGATCAAACTAAAACGTAGGATCAATCAAACTTTTAGTCTGAGTCATGTTGGTGGTAGATGAAGACTACTTGGTTGGGGTCCGAGTGACTATCGTAACCAATGATTGGAGACTCAGGGTGACATGGCTCAGAATCAATCACAATGGCGTACGTGTATACACCATTTGTCTTAATTTAAACTATGAGATTAAAATTATGTTTTTGATCGACATCATGAATCGACTGATGTTAGACCACCTCTGGAAACCTGGAAGCACT